AGGATCCCCGCTGGCGGAGGGCGTGGCTTTCTTCGACCCTAAGAGAGACAAGCTCCCCATCTCTCTGAAACCCAGTCTCTGGGGAGAGGCTAGACTGTCTGCCATCGGGTCAGAAAGTGAGGGTGGCTTGCTTGCAGAGCTGCGTGCAAGAATAATTGTTTGCTGTGCGGGGACACGGTCAGTGGGAGAGGCAGATATGGCTGACCAGCAGCCATCACTGTTGGCTACACTAGCCTAGTGATGCCGAGACTCTGCCCTGAGACTCCGCCCGGCTCAATCTACAAACACAACCAAGCAGTGGCTTTTGCAATGAGTGACCTGCTCTATTGCAGTTTAACCTAGCAAACTTGCAACCTGGTGCAGACAGCTCTAAAGTTTCCAAGCCCCAAGCAGGGAGGAGAGGACTGTGGTTCTCGCTGTAGCTCCTGCAGGGTGGCCTCAGACAGTAGCTGAACTGCACCCCATTGGAGATCCAGAAGCCAGTGTACCTGGTGGTCAGTGTGAGACACCAGATTTCAACTCCTCATATCCATAAGTGACACATTCGGGAGGCGGACTCAGTGAGCACCAAAGCCCCACTGAAACAAGGCCTGCACCATAAGCGTGTCTCCAGCTCAGCAGTTTTTCCATTACAGACACAGCGGGTCCTCACAGCCAATTGGCCTGGAGGTCAACTCCTCTCAGTGTACCAAAGCAATCAAGGCTTCACTACACCAAGACTTTGCACTAAGCCTACGGGTGTACCAAGAACAACCACCTCAGGTGATTGGGGAAGCTGAGCTACTGGCCCCTATAGGTCACCTACCACACAAAGCCACTCCATCAACACAGGGAGGCAAACAAAATTCAGAGACACAGAAGCATGTCACAAATGGGAGAGATGGAGGAAAGTAAACTACTGGACGACACAGAGTTCAGAATCACATTTATAAGGTTACTCAAGAATCTTCTAGAAACCGCTGAGAAACTTGAAGAGACCTTCAAGGACCTTAATGAGAATACAAAAAAAAAAAAAAAAAGGATAAGGATCAGTTAGAAATTAAGCATACACTGTCTGAAATAAAGAATATATAGAAACTCAACTGTAGATCAACATACCCTAAGAATCAAACCAAAGATCTGGAATATGAGGAAACAAAAAACACTCAACCAGAAAGGCAGAAAGAAAGAAGAATCCAAAAGTGTGAGGACAGTGTAAGGAGCCTCCAGGACTGCTTTAAGCGTACCAACATCCGGATTTTTGGGGTGCCAGAAGAAGACAGAGACCAAGATACTGAAAACTTATTTGAAGAAATAATGTCAGAAAACTTCCCCCACCTGGTGAAAGAAATAGACTTACAAGTTCAGGAAGTGCACAGATCCCCAAACAAGAGGAATCCAAAGAGGACCACACTAAGACATATCATAATTAAAATGCTAAGAGCAAAAGACAAAGAGGGAATCTTACAAGCAGCAAAAGAAAAAACAGCTACCTACAAGGGAGCACCCATATGACTGTCAGCTGATTTCTCAACAGAAACTATGCAGGCCAGAAGGGAGTGGCAAGAAATATTCAAAGTGATGAACAGCAAGAACTTACAACCAAAATTACTCTACCCAGCAAAGCTATTATTGAGAATTGAAAGCCAGATAAAGAGCTTTACAGACAAGAGAAAGCTAAAGGAATTCTTTACCACCAAACCAGGATTACATGAAATTCTGAAAGGTATTCTTTAAGAAGAGGAAGAAGAAGAAAAAGGTAAAGGTAAAAACTATGAACAACAGCCAAGACCGGTTTGGCTCAGTGGATAGAGCGTCGGTCTGCAGACTGAAAGGTCCCGGGTTCGATTCCGGTCAAGGGCATATATTTGGTTGCAGGCACATCCCCGGTGGGGGGTGTGCAGGAGGCAGCTGATCGATGTTTCTCTCTCATCGATGTTTCTAGCTCTCTATCCCTCTCCCTTCCTCTCTGTAAAAAAAATCAATAAAAATATTTTTTAAAAAAACTATGAACAACAAAGAGACATCAAATACATACCTACCAACAAGTGAATCTAAAAATCAAGTGAATAAAAAAGCTGAAGAGCAGAATGGACTGGTGAATATAATGGAATCAGGGACATAGAAAGGGAGTGGACTGACAATTCTCAGGGGGAAGGGGGTTTGCCGGGTGCGGGAAGAGATTGGACAAAAATCTTACACCTATGGGTGAAGACCGTGCGGGGGTAAGGGTACGGGGTGGGGTGGGGAATCAGGTGGAGGGGAGCTATGGGGGGAAAAAGAGAAACACCTGTAATAATCTAAACAATAAAGATTTATTATATAAAATATTTAAAATAATAACAATAATATAAAGGATTTTATCCTTTTTGCAAAGACTGTGAGAAAAACCACCCTATTTCTGTGTTCGGTAATTCTTGCCAAATGCAGAGAATGGTTACTGTCAGACTAAGGAGTGTTTACACAAGGGTCTCTGACAGCTGAGATAACTTCCCCATGAGATGATGGGTCTGAAGAGAAGTTACCAAAAGCCAAAGGTGGGGCCATTTACCAGCATCTCACTGGCATGACAACCCAGCCCAGCCACCCCAACGACAGGCCCGTCCATCGGCCTGGGAGAATGCCCTCCTGGGAGACCCAAGATCATTTCACCTGTTCAGAGAGAACAGGCGCACACGGTTTCTAAGCAGCTGGAAACGGAAGGAGACAGGCCTTTCTACCTGGCAGTTAGAAGGCCCCCTGGTGGAGGACTGGGAGGAAGGCAGGCTTGGGTGAGACCTGAGTGTGGATCCCTTTGGGAAGGCGAGGTTCAGTGGGTTGAGGGTCCTTCTATGAATCAGTCAAGACACATGTCCAGGTTACGGGCTCAATCCCGTGTGAGGTGTGCAGAAGGTAATAGATCAATGATCTACTGATGTTTCTCTCTCTCTCCCTCTCCCCTCTCCCTTCCTCTCTGAAATCAATAAAAATAGATTAAAAAAAGAAAGTTCCTGAACTTTCTAGGCCCTGCTTTCCTCACCTGTGAGATAATAATATCAATCTTGCAGGCTTCTTGGAATTTAATACGATAAAGAAAGCACTTACCATGAGGAATATTTTTCTTATGCAAGTAGCCTTAATTAATATCAGAATAAACATAACACTACTTCTCATTTACTTAATGCTGAACTGTACCAAGAGCCTGCCTCCTACTCTCACAACCTGCACTTTAGAGGCTGCAGGTCCTTCCCCCAGCCCAGCCCAGGACCCCTGGGCCCAGGCTGGAACCTGGGTGAGGGCTCAGCTTTGCCACCTGCACTTTCCAACCTCCTTTGTTTTTCAATTTAAAGCCTCCCCATGTGCTGGCCTATCTCTCTTACGTTAAGAAACATTAAAGACCCAAAACTGGTTTGGCTCAGTGGCTAGAGCGTCGGCCTATGGACTGAAGGGTCCCAGGTTCGATCCCGGTCAAGGGCATGTACCTTGGTAGCAGGCACATCCCCGGGGGGGGGGGGGGGCAGCTGATCGGTGTTTCTCTCTCATAGATGTTTCTAACTCTTTATCCCTTTCCCTTCCTCTCTGTAAAAAATCAATAAAAAATATATATATATTTTTTAAAAGATACAATAAAGGGGGAATTTTTCTTTCCTAATAGGGGAGGGCGTGGGGTGGAGATGGGTTCTTATGCTTGGGGTGCTGGGGGAGCAATCAAACTGAGTGAAGGTTGCTCATCCCAACCCAGAGGTCTCCTCTCGCAGGAAAACCTCCTGAGGCGGGCAAACCTGGACCGCTGCCCCGCTGCCCCGCCAGAGCCCACAGGCCGCCTGGGACGCACAGGGCGGGCTGCACACGTGCTCTGGGCCTGAGAGCTGATCTGAAAGCACCCGCCCTGTACCGGGAGCCGGGAGGCCCTGGGCAGCCCCGGCCAGACACGCGGTGCTTCTGAATGTGGACGTCAGCATGACGAAACACCGCAGAGGGCCTCACTCTGGCCAGGTTGGGTTTTGCCCAAATGAGTTTGGTGGCAGGCTGATGAAACGGTTGCCTCTCGGCGTTTTTGTTTCAGAACCATTGGTGCCGAGACCGGTTTGGCTCAGTGGAGAGAGCGTTGGCCTGCGGACTGAGAGAGCGTTGGCCTGCGGACCATTGGTGCCGAGACCGGTTTGGCTCAGTGGAGAGAGCGTTGGCCTGCGGCCTCCGGTTTGGCTCAGTGGAGAGAGCGTTGGCCTGCGGACTCCAGTCAAGGGCATGTACCTTGGTTGCGGGCACATCCCCAGTAGAGGGTGTGCAAGAAGTAGCTAATCGATGATTCTCTCTCATTGATGTTTCTAACTCTCTATCCTTCTCTCTTCCTCTCTGTAAAATATCAATAAAATATATTAAAAAAAAAAAAAAAGAACCATTGGTAAGGGAGTACGGACGTGCTGATAGCAGGCAGGACAACGGTTAGTATCTACTGAGTGCTTACCATGTGTGCTGTTTCCGTGATTTAGTCCTCCCCAGCTTGGGGTGGAGCTGAATATTCCCATAACAACTCTGCACCGAATCACAGGACAGCGCCCGCCGGGCTGCCTGGTTACAGCCACTGCTGCACCATTTTGGCAAATTACTTCTGTTGGTACTTACACGGTAGTTGTGAGGATTAAATGAACTGTGTTGTGAGAAGTGCCTGGCACATAGCAAGGGTGGTCATTATGTAATTTTGCACGTGGGTAAACTAAGCCTCAGGGAAGTTCGGTACCTTGCCCAAGGAGTTCCAGCTATTAACAGTGCAGCTGGGATTCGAACTCAGGCAACGTTGCTCTAAGCCTACCCTCTGTGCTGCTTTTTCACTACAGGCAAACCACCACTCAAGAGACAAAGTAGCTACTAATCTAGAAAGACGTGAAATCTAAGTGTTGGCTCTTCAGACAGCAGTAGTTTGGTATTGTAATGGCACAAGTGATAGCCAATGCCAACTTGGGCATCTACTCCGTAGGTCCCAGGATGCTGGCCTCCATCTCATACCGGTAGCTCAGGGCCTGTCCCGCAGGCACACTCACCGTCAGGACCCTGGCGGGCGGCAGCGTGCAGCGCCGTGTTTCCGTGGCGGTCCTGGTGGGCAGGGTCAGCCCCGAGCCGAAGAAGCAGGCACAGGGCAGGCGCATCGTGGCGGGCACAGGCCCGGTGCAGCGGCGGGGGCTGCCCAGCATCTACATCGAGGCCGGGGTGTCGCCGGAGGAGGGCCTGGGCCCGGGCCAGCCGACCTGCAGACAGGTACCGCCTGAAGCGACGCTCTCGGCGCTGGCGGCGGGAGGTGGAGGCCATGGAACTCCTGGGCTGAAGAAGCAAGAGGCATCAGAGGGGACCCCGCCTGGGCCCCTCCCGCCACCCCGGCCGTTCCGTCCCCCCTGCCGGCCGGGTTCTCACATCCTCAGCAAGACAGGCGGCCTGTTCTCCCCGTGCCGCTTACCAGATGGTCGGTTTGAAAACATTTTAAGGGGGGGGAGCTGGCCTCACACATTTATTTTTTAATGTAAAATTGAGAAAAGGACAAATGATCACTTTGCGGCCCATCAGCCGCGCTAAATTTTAAATAAAAAACTTTGGAAAGGGGAATAGGGACTGATGGGGGAACTTTTTATCAACAAGTTACAATTTTAAAGTCAAATAAAGGCTTCTCCCTCTGGACCTGGGGGTGGGGTTACTCATCAGACCTGCCCCCGCCCCCTCCCCCTCCCCCTCCCCCGAAGTACCCTCAGGGCCGCCGGCCCGAGCCCGGGGTTCGGTCGCTCGGAGCAAGGGAGGCAGGAAGGCGGAGACACTCTAGGCCGGCAGAAGCGGCGCCACTGAGACGCAGGTAAAGGACGGAAATGACCTAAGGAGCATTACCGGATGTCGTTTCTCCCCGAGGACGCGCGGTGGTGGGGGCGGGGAGGTGTGTTTCCGTGGTGTGGCCTCCGGGGGGGAAACTAGGGAACATAAGATAAAGGGCCTACCTGGAACCCGGAAAGCGCAGGGTAGGCGCAGAAAAAGGAGGGCGGCCGGGAGGTTTACCCCCACCTCCCCAGCGGGAAGAGAGTAGTGGTTCCGAGATAGATGAAAAGATGAGAAAGAGAGAAAACAGGAGAAATAAGGGAATAAAAATCACTGTGAAAAAGAATAAAACACATTGGGGCCAAGAACAGGGGCAGATCAAAAAGAGAAAAACAGGTATGAAAAGACATAAAGGCAAGTGAGATGGATGCGGAAGCTTGGATTTGGAAAAGATAGAGAGGAAATGGAAACGGGTGGGAGAGAAAAGGGAGGAGCTGGCCGAATTCAGAAGCCCAACGTACTCTTCATGCACCACGGATGGTGACTTCCTTACTTTCTCTCTCTCTCTCTCTCTCTCTCTCTCTCTCTCTCTCTCTCTCTCTCTCTCTCTCTTTCTCTCTCTCTCTCTCACACACACACACACACACACACACACACACACACACACACAGAGGCCACCTTCTCTCCCAGTACTCTCCCAGCCCTGGCCCCAGCCCTAGGTCTCCGGACTGGGCCAGCCTGGCACCCACCTCTTATGGGCAGCTTTGGGGCTGGTCTCCGCTGCCCCCGAGAGGTCCTTCTCGGTACTGCCCGGGTGAGAGGTGGATGAGGAGGACCAGCCACTGTCCGGAGGATCAGTTTGGGGGAGACACCCGGTGCAGGCTAAGCGAAAAGGGGAGCACTAAGACCCAGGGATAGTGAAGGACTGCAGCAACGAGCTGGAAGAGAAGTAGGCGGTGGGGGGGACTGGAAGCCATTTGGTACCTTGGTAGCATCCGAAACAGAATCTGCCATAACGACAGAAATGGCCAGCCAATCCCAGGGTATCCAGCAGCTCCTGCAAGCAGAGAAACGAGCGGCTGAGAAGGTGGCAGATGCCAGGAAGAGTGAGCCTCCCCCTTCCTCCATTAGAAGTCTGGGGAGAATATTGGGGGTGGGAGGACAGCAAACATTTGAGTCCTGAGGAATACCCAAGCCTGATGGGGAGAGAGCTGAGGGCTGGGGGGCTGGTTAGAAGGCTGGAAGGGAAGAAATGGGGGATGTTAGAACCTAGCACCTGGTTGGCTGAGCGCAGAATAACCTCTGGGAAGGACTGACCCCCCACTATCACAGGTTATGTCGGGTTCACCCAACCCATCCTGCTTTTGCTTCCAGGGAAGGCCCGGCGTCTGAAGCAGGCAAAGGAGGAGGCACAGATGGAAGTGGAGCAATACCGGCGGGAGCGAGAGGTGGAATTCCAGAGCAAACAGCAGGCGGTGAGTCTGGGAGAAGTGGGGATCTTCCATCTGGTGCGGGTGATTCTGCAATAAAATAAGATGGTCCAGGACAGAAGGGGGTCCTGGTGGGGACCATGTGACGTTGGTCAAGCTTTGTGACATTTAGGAGCCTGCGCATCTGAAGGACTCGAGCAGTTGTGGGGGAATGGCCAGTCTGTGGAGCACGATGATGTTGGGGGGGCAGAGTGCCGTGGTCGTGGGCGGTGAGGGTGGGGATTGTACAGTCGGCGTGGCACGCCGGGTCTTGGAGGAGAGGGTTGTCCCAGTGTCTGGCTGTTTCTGTGGGATGGGCGGTTTGGAGAGGGCCTTGCTCCAGGATCTTTCCTCCACATGTCTGGACCCTCTTTCTCTGTCTCTTCCTTTCCCTCTTCTGCCCCTTCCTCACCTTCCAGGCCATGGGCTCCCAGGGAAACCTGTCCGCGGAGGTGGAGCAGGCCACCAGGCGCCAGGTGCAGGGCATGCAGAGCTCCCAGCAGAAACACCGAGAGCGAGTCCTGGCCCAGCTCCTCGGCATGGTCTGCGACGTCAGGCCCCAGGTCCACCCCAACTACCGGATTGCTGCCTAGGACAAACCCAGCGCCTGATGCCTCCTCAAAAGAAACCCCCAAACCAGAGTCACCTCCCATCCTAATCCTGATCTGCTTTCCATTCCCTGGAAATTCTAGGAGGCAAGACCCAATAATTCTGTGAAATATAGATATCCTGCTCAGACCTGCATCTCCTCATTGTTCTTTAACCTTCGCTGAGACCTTATAAACTCCCAAGTCACCCTCACCCAACCCCCCTGTGAAATCTGCAGCATGAAAACGTGGGGGTGTAGGAAACTCCCTAACTCCAGAGCCTGGCAGGCGTGGATCCCTCTCCTGACCCTGCTGCTAGCTGGCAGGCAACCAGTACGAGTTACTTAACCTGTGGCCTCATGGCCTCCCCAGGAGCAACAATGCCCACCTTTCCGTGCTGCTACAGTGATCAGGAGCCATGCTGTACAGAGCCCAGCATGGTTTCTGGCATGTAGTAGTTATGATTCGATTAATGGCACCTTGTGATATTATTACCACCTCATGTCCAGCTGCCAAAACCTAACACAGCCGTTTCCTCACTTCTGTCTGTGACTCCAACTCTACTCATTCTGTGACCCTAGTAATTCTCTGAAAAATTGGTTCTTCCCACCTCTCCTTTCCCAGAGAGCCTGCACTACCTGAAAAAGATAAAAGGATGATTTCATTTAGCCTGATACTGTAGTTCCAGAAAGATGGTGCATTTTTTTAGCCTCCCCTTCATCTCTCTTAAGTTGGTCTTTCTCTTTATTGGCTTTCTCTCATTTCTTATTACCCAAAGACCTATCAGATGATCACTGCTTCCTGAGATATAAAGTGAAGCTTGTCACTGTGTATGCATGGACTTCCTTTGTAACAATAAAAACTGTCAATAAAACGACTATGGGAAAATCCTTTTGTTTCATCATTTCTCATTTAGCCCCTCTCTTGAGTCTTGTTTCTATATTCTCCAAACACCCAAAAGAGCTGCTCTTTGAAACTTGTTGTAGAAACATAGCAAATAATATATTATTATTGCCTGGCCGATGTGGCTCAGTGGTTGAGCATTGACCTAAGAACCCGGAGGTCACAGTTTGATCCCTGTCAGGGCACATACCTGGGTTCCTGGCTTGTACCCAAGTAAGGGGCATGCAGGAAGCACCTGATCAATTATTCTCTTTCATTACTGATATTTCTATTTCCTCCCTTCCTCTCCCTGAAATCAATAAACATATATTTTTTTTAAAAAGAAAATCTTAAAAATCATATTTCTCTAAAGTGAGAAACATAAGTGATTCCTAGTTTGGGAAATTGAAGGCTTTAGATGGCTACTGTAGAGAAAAGCTGGGGTGCAGGAACAAGCATTTTGCCCGTTCAGTAACCACAGAGGCTTAGGCTGTAATGAGAACAAAAGGCATTTATTTGAACAAAAAGCCTGCACTACCATGATGTAGACCCAGGTAACTACTCAAACTGTTCTCTGAGAGAACAAAGAAAGGCAGGATTTATAAAAGCAAAAACCACAAAGTGCAATTATTTCATGTACATGAAGGATTGATGGATAGGGATTGGTTGGTTCTAACATGCAAATGAGGGAGACAAAAACTATGAGGAGCAGGTAGAGTCCTTGTGTCCTTGAAGCAATTGTTCCAAAATGTTTATGAACATATTTGACATATTTATGTTTGTGCATCGTCTGTTCTGTTGGTGAACTCTGTCACTGCTACGTCTCCAGACCCTAGAATAGCACTTTGGACAGAGTATGCAAGATAAATACTGTGAGAATAAATTGATACATAGGGTTGGAAAAACAGTCCTTTTATAACATCATCCTGGGATCCTTTGATGGATCACTTATTGCATTTTTTTTGGCCACAGAAAATAAGCCTCTTTAAAAAAAAAAAAATATATATATATATATATATATATATATATATATATATATATATATATTATTGTACACAGAGAGGAATTGAGAGGGATAGAGAGAAACATCGATGAGAGAGAAACATCGACCAGCTGCCTCATGTATACCTCCCACTGGGGATGTGCCCACAACTGAGGTACATGCCCTTGACCGGAATCGAACCCGGGACCTTTCAGTCTGCAGGCCGAGGCTCTATCCACTGAGCCAAACCGGTTTCGGCGAAAATAAGCCTCTTAACCAAACTCTAAGCAAAGAAGTAGTATACATCCTCCTATATAATAAAAGACTAATATACAAATCGGCTCATCGGTGGGACAACTGGTCACTATAATGCGCACTGACCACCATGGGGCAGATGCTCAATGCAAGAGGTGCTTCCTGGTGGTCAGTGCGCTCCCATTGGGAGCGCTGCTCAGCCAGAACCCCTGAATCAGGTTCACGGCTGGTGAGCAAAGCAGTGATGGTGTGAGCACTAAGGATGTCAGACTGCCAGCTTATCCCCTGAAGGCTCCCCAACTGCCGGAGGGTGCAGGATGAGCTGAGGGACACCCCCATCTCCCAGAGCAGGAATTTCATGCACCAGACCTCTGGTACAGAATAAGAGGTGTTTGTTTTTATCCTGGCTCTGTCCTCACCTTACTAGCTGTATTACTTCCCACATGTTGCTTTATTCTCTTCAGTCTGTGCTTGTAAATGGAATGGGAATAATGGTCTCCACTCCTGTTAAATGATTGTTTAATAACAGCTACAGGGCCGAACGTTTGTTGTAATTTTTGTTAAGCAGCAGACATCAAGTCTGGTTTCTATAGCATATCAAAAACAGGGTATCAGATGCTTCATTCATGAAAAAATCCATGCTGAACAATGGGGCTATCGGGGTTGGGCTAAGAACATTCTAGTGGCATTAACAGTACTTAGGGAATGTTGCATAACCCTCAAGCCCCATCATTTAACACTTGGGGCCCAACCTAGACCCCGTTGCCACTCTGAGTTCAGAACGCCTTGACTCGCAGCCCCCGCCCGCCAGCTTAGGGCCCTTGGGACATGTTCTATAGATGCGCTAACACTACTTTTGGGCAAATGTCAGGCCGCGGTCCCCACGGCTGCCTATCTCCGGCGCGGACGCCCCAGGTCACCTTGACTACCGGGCCGAGGACCCCGTGGGAACCCGCAGCCTCGCCAGCCTCGCTCGCCACCGAGGGGTGCCCAGAGAGAAGTCCTGCGTGGCAAGAACCTAAACAAGGAAGCGAGGGGCGTGGAGAGAAGTGGAACAAGAGAAAGGGGATGCTAATGAGAGGGGATGCTAGCTTCCTTTCTGTCTTTTGTTACAGGCAATAGCGAAGGAGTTAGAAGTGGCTTTAAAAAAAAGAAACAACTCAGACAGGCAGTTTCTAAAGGCAACCCCAGAGCCCCCGGAACTACAGATCCACGGAAGGTCCCTCTTCCGGTCCCTTGAGCCTGACGCTAGCTGCCGAGAAGGCGGGAGGCCGGCGTAGAGGGAAACTGGGGACCGGAAGTGAAGGCAGATTGCCTCCTTCGTCGCTGTTGCTGCCGCCATACGCGTTCGCCTTGCTCAGGTAAGATTTGGCCTTGGGTACCATCCATTTCCATCTGCGTTTCCCTGCAGCCATCCTGCCGTATGGAGTCCTGATACCCCTTCCACAGGCGATGGCTTGGTCGCTGGGGCCTCGTTGGGTCGTTATTTTCATCACTTGCATCCCTTTCGAGAGCAAAGAGCTCCCGGGGGGAGGTAGGGAAGCTAAAAAGGCTCAATCCAAGATGGTGGCCTCGCGCCATTGTCCCCTTAGCTCTCCGCTCCTCTGGCGGCCTCGTTTTCGAAAGGTCCTAGCGACGGGGAGAGGCGGCGCTGGGCGGGGCTCTCCTCCCCTCCCCTCGTTTCTGGGCACTCTCGGCCGGCGCGGGACTCGGAGGAGCCCCTTCTGGGCCTAGTTGGACTTCCTACCCCGGCTGGCCCGCGTTCATTGGGAGCGCTTGCAAGTGCCTTGGGGAGATGTGTGTTTTGGGAGAGGCTCGGTGCGGGTGACCGCGGCGGTGGAGGCGGCGGTAAGGCTCGGCAGGCCGAGGCCGCCCTCTGCCCTGACGATGGAGTGCTGGAGAGGTGGATGCTTTCGGCGGAGCCACCCCCGCCGTTGGCCCATTCCACGGAGTTCTAAGCCGCAGGTGGGGCTGCTGAGCGGGAGGCTGGTGGGCTGCGGGGGTGAGCGGCAGCCACATGATGTTCTCACGTTGAGGTGAGCGCTCTGCGCAGTGATGACCTTCATCTATCACCCTGGACTGATGGCTGCTGCGCGAGGGCTTGACAGCTTGCGGCCGGGGAAGCGCGGGTCTTCCGTGGAGGGTTTCGGGACGGCCCCCTTCTCTCCGTCTCCATCCCTGGCATCTGCTTTTCCTCATCTGTTCGTTTCCTCGCTGTCAGGGACGAGCTCCTAAGCTGCTCTCCCACCGTCTGTTCCTAGTCTTGCTGGAGCCTGTGACCTGACCGCCTCCCCTGGAACCCCTTCCCCAGCCCCTGTCACTCTTGCCTTTGTTTTGTGTCCTTTGTTACTGTTTCACCCAGGTAAAGGTTTCCTAGTTTAGGGAACGTGGGAAGGGCGTGGGGGAGGAAAAGAAGTGGCGAAGGCTCTGCTCATGACTGATGTCCTTTTTTTCCTATTCTTTGTGTTTTTTTCCCTAGCTCTTCTGCCAGAAACTAGTGTATCTTCTATTCCTCAAGCCCCACTCTCCTCCTTGTCTTCACTTAATCTGCGTGAACCCATTCAGAGACCCTCCCTCCTCCCCCTGCCTGCCCAGTTATGGCGGAGAACGATGTGGACAACGAGCTCTTGGACTATGAAGATGATGAGGTGGAGACCGCAGCTGGGGGAGATGGGGCTGAGGCCCCTGCCAAGAAGGATGTGAAGGGCTCCTATGTCTCCATCCATAGCTCTGGCTTTCGGGACTTCCTGCTCAAGCCAGAGTTGCTCCGGGCCATTGTTGACTGTGGCTTTGAACATCCATCAGAAGGTAAATTTTCTCTTGGGCATAGAGTACTCATAAGGCACTTTATAATGATCCTGAAAAGATGTGTTCATGGTCCCTCAGTGACACAGACCTGCATTTAGGATAGACCAGGAAGTAAGGAAGTACCAGGAGTCCCAGAAAGTGTTTTAGAATTAGAAGAGGTTTATATAGGTTGTCTTTTATTCATGGTGCACGAAATTCGTGCACTGGACGGGAAGGGGGTCCGGCCTGCGCCCTCTAGCAGTCCCAGAGCCCACAGGGGATGTCCCACTGCTATGGAGGTGGGAAAGGCCTGCCAGCGCTGAGTCCGGCTTCTGGCTGAACAGTGTTCCCTCTGGTGGTCAGTGCATGTCACAGCAACTGGTTCTGCCGTTTGGTCAATTTGCATATTGGCCTTTTATTATATAGGACAGGATAGCATAAAACAAAAGCAGCTTACAGGTCTGTAATTCATTTTTTTGACTGGTTTTTCCCCTTGTCTTCTAGCTTTGAATTTTGTCTCTTTAACTTGTAATTTTAAATTTCCAGAGAAGAGTTGGTTGCACTTTTAGTTCTCTTTTGGGCCAGGCCAACTCTGGTTTCTGGAAACCTTTATGGCTCTTTTAACGGTGGGTGGCTTCTGGGTCAGGTACCAAGTCCTTCATTTAGTGCAAGGTTGCAGGGTTCCATGATCCAAGGACTGGCAGTCTAAGCAGGAGATAGGCCTGTAGCCGGCATGCAAATGCCATGGGCTGTTTAAGATGAAGGAAAATAAGGGCAGCCGGAAGCACCAAAGATGGGCTGTTGGTAGATGCAAATGGGTAGTTGTGGGGGAGTATAGAAGGGGGTTTGGTTGGTGCGGGAGGAAGCTAAAGCTAGAAGGGACTAGGAGGGTCTGATTTGGGGTGAATTTGAAGGAGCATAGAGGTAGAAAGTGTCTAGAAATTGACAAAAACCACTTAAGAATTCGGCGGCATGAAATGGGTGTGGCTGGTGAAAAATGTTACCTGGAGATTGAGTCCCAATTTATCTTTTTTCTTCTAGTTCAGCATGAGTGCATCCCTCAGGCCATTCTGGGAATGGACGTCTTATGCCAAGCCAAGTCGGGCATGGGGAAGACAGCAGTGTTTGTGCTGGCCACACTGCAGCAGCTGGAGCCGGTCACTGGGCAGGTACAGCTGGGCGGGCGTTTGGATTAGGAATGTGGGGGCAGAGTGTTTTAGCTCAGCTACATGAGGTATTCACAACCATGGGTGCTTGTTGCTCAGATGACCTCTGTCGCCCTTGAGGCCAAGGGGAGTATTTTGTAGTAGTCGTGGGGTTAATGATTTAGATCTCAGAATTGAAGTCATTTATGATCTGCAGGTCTGTTTTTGTGGTAGTCAGTTCCCCTGAGGGGTAGTGAAGGGAGACACTTACTTTCCACTCCCCCCCAGGTGTCTGTGCTGGTGATGTGTCACACCCGGGAGCTGGCTTTTCAGATCAGCAAAGAGTATGAGCGCTTCTCTAAGTACATGCCCAATGTCAAGGTAAGCCAGGGTAAGAGCCTGGGGGGAAGGAGGGTATGGATAGTTTGAGGCATTTGGGACTTACAGACCATCAGTCTTCATGTCCCACAGATGTTAACTTCCAATACCTGTACTGAACCTCAATTCCACCTGCAAACTTTTACAGAGAGGAAGGGAGAGGGATGGAGAGTTAGCTGCCTCTTGCACACCCCCTACTGGGCATGTGCCCGCAACCAATGTACATGCCCTTGACCGGAATCGAACCAGGGACCTTTCAGTCTGCAGACCGACAGTCTATCCACTTGGCCAAACCGGTTTTGGCCTGCTTACTGCTTTCTTAACCTGAATCGTTTGAATCATTTCAGTGTGCTTTCAGTGACAGTTTGAGAATTTGGAGATGTATGGCAAGAGAATGCTGGAACCCCAAAATGGCTCTAGTGGATGTGACTTAAGTGGAAGAAAATTTAAAATGTCTGGGAGCCATAAGAAAGTTGGCCTAAGTTGTTCTCCATGGTATAACCTTGATATTTATAGCCTGCAATCTTACTGGTTAGGATGGTGTGAAGAAGAGTATATTTTTCTCAAAAAATTAAATATGGAACTGCCGTTTGACCCAGTGATCCCACTTCTAGGATTATGTCCTAAGAAACCCAAAGCACCAGTCAGGAAGAATGTGTGCCCCCTGTGTTCACAGCACAATTCACAACAGCTAAGATCGGGAACAGCCCACGTGCCCGCCAGCAGAGTGGTCAGAAAGCTGTGGGACAGTCACACCAGGGGACACTCTGCAGCTGTAAAAAGAAGGGCCTCTCACCCTGTGAGACAGCATGGAGGGGCCTGGAGAGCATCATGCTGAGGGAAATAAGCCGGTCAGAGAAGGACAAGTGTCACATGATCTCACTCATATGGTGGAATCTAAGTAACAAACTGATGAACAGAGTGAATCTAGAGCCATGGAAGCCTGGAGCAGAGTGCGGATCTCAGGGGGGAGGGGCAGACAATAGGGTGATGGAGATTGGGGGGAAAGGGGACGTGTGTAATACTTTCAACAATAAATAATTACTTTTAAAAAGTTACCAGTTCTAATAACATACTGAGTGAAGCTTAAAAAGAAAACTCTTTATGGTTGAAAATGAAAACTGCCTACAGGTTATGGCTTTACTAACAAAAGGTTTTACAAAACAAAACACAACCCTGCCGGTGTGGCCCATGGTGGAGCATTGACCTGTGGAGATCACAGTTTGATTCCGGTCGGGGTCGCGGGCTGGACCCCCAGTAGGGAAGGGTGTGCAGGAGGCAGCTGATGAATGATTGTCTCATTGATCTTCCTACTTCTCCCTTCCTCTCTTTGAAATCAACAACAAAAAAGAATACTTTTGTTCAGATTGTTACAGTTTTTCCTGTTATACACGTTTTTAATTGACTTGTTTTAGAGAGAGAAACAAGGACGTGAGAATGAAACATTGATCAGCTGCCTCTTAGATGCCCTTTACCAGGGACAGAGCCCGCAGCCCTGTTTCTGTGGTTTAGACACAGCGATAACTACGGCAGCGAGCGCGGTTCTGCGGTGGCGGCCTGGTAAGAAGGCCTCAGTGCAGGGCTGTGTCCTCCCTCTGGCCTTTGTCCCAGAGCGAGTCACCGCCACCCTTTGGAAATTCTGCTGTAAAATGAAGTATCAGGCACTGTTTCCTCAATTGACCAATTTATAGGCCTTTTTTACTCAGCTCATTTTATTGTTTTGAAACATTAATTCTAATTCTCTAAGTCTGATCTGAATGTTGTATATATGTAGGCGTCCACGTTATGCATACCTGTTTTTACACTGTATCAATAGCATTGACTTCTGCCCTTTCTCCGAGCAGTCTTGTCTGGGTTGTTTCTAAAACTTGGAAACCAGGAACCAGTTTCTATTGCTAAAACTATGGAAACATTTACCGTTGAGCTCTGTGGTGAGCTAGGGTTGCACTTCCTCCTAGCCATTTGACCAGGGGTAGGTCCAACTCATCACCTTTGTGCCTATATTCTTGGTGTCAAGATCAAATGCAAATTGTCATGATACCTTATTTTGCCCAAAACTATGCTACAGTGACTTGAAGAGGCTGGGCCCATTCTACAGAAGGCCCTGCCTCTGGATTCCTCTGGTTAACTCTAAATCCGTACCCCAGGGTATGCTTTTCATTGAGGGGGGGGAGAGACATTGGTGTGAGGGAGACAGCCATCGGTTGTCTCCTGTGGGCGCCCTGGCCCTGACTAATGGAGCCCACGGCCTTTATGGTGTGTAGGACGATGCTCCCACCACCTGAGCCACTCGGCTTGTCTCCTTCCTCCTCTATGGCAGTCAGCTTGTACTTGCCTCCCAGTATTCCTGTGAGCAAGTGTTTGGCAAGAATTCTTCATGGGTATCCTGTGTACCTCCTGTTTTGTTAGAAACCTGGAATGACGTACTACAGGACAAGGGTCATGAGAACCAGGTTCCTTGATTGATCTTCCCCTCTTGAAACTAGAAAGCAGTTCTAAGTCCCAGATCCTCAAGAACCATTCCCCTAATGGTTTAATATGGAGTAGTTTGGTTAGCCCGAATCAGTAACTACATAGGACTTGAGCAAAGGGATTTAAAAATCCGGGTTGGGTTAGGAAAACTTGATGTTCCCTGAGCTTTGTGGTGGTCCTTGACCTGGTGTCCTGCTGTTCTCGTCTTAGAGTCCTGGGAGGGAAGCGGTTAGGGTAAGGCGGAGGGCTGGGGGCTTGTCCTCACTGCTCAGGTCAGGCCTGTAGCCGCAGGCAAGGCACTGGTTTCTCCCTCAGTGTTGGGGATGTAATTCTAGGTTAGATGGCCCTCAGTGTTCCTTTTAGCTCTGAAATGTTCAAGAGGTGGTATAGATGGAGCCGGAAGAAGGGGGACCGGAGGGACTGGACTCAGTTTCACTGTCAGGCCTTCTCCCCGCTGGCAGGTGGCAGTGTTTTTTGGAGGCCTGTCCATCAAGAAGGACGAAGAGGTGCTGAAGAAGAACTGCCCGCATATCGTCGTGGGGACCCCTGGCCGCATCCTAGCCTTAGCTCGAAATAAGAGCCTCAACCTCAAACACATTAAACACTTTATCTTGGATGAATGTGACAAGATGCTTGAACAGCTCGGTGAGTGGCAGTGCTGGGCCTGGGCCTCTGAACACGTGCCTTTGGTTGGTGCAGGAGCAGTCGTGCAGGGCGGCCCTTCACCTGCCACCCTCACGAGGGCGCTGCTCCCTCAGTTGGTCTTGACGCGCTGCGGCGCTCAGGAAGAAGGGCCTTCCTCTGTGACTTGCTGGCAGTGACCTCCGTCACATCACCCCTCCTTACAGCTCCCCCTCCTGGATGTGTTAGGGGAGATGCCAGACTGGAGGAGGGACGGGCCACCCTCCGACATCCTCGCCCAGCATACACCCTGAGAATTCCAGCTGGTAGACCTGTAGACTTAAGTGCTGGGATTAACGTGGAGAGTGCTGCTGGGCTGGGCGTTTGTGTGGCTTGGTATTCTAGTGTGCTAAGTGGGGGTCACAGAAAATATTCTAAGAACTCAAATTTGGAGGAGAGAATAGGGGAGGATGTAGCCTTAGGGTAAGTCTTTCCAGATGATCTTTGGCTGTTGTAGCTGGCAAGCTGTGAGATGGGCTCCAGGTAGCGGGCGGTGTCGTATTTCCTGGCCGCTAGAAAGTGATCCAGAGGGAGCAGGGAGCAGACTGGCGGCTGGAATAGCCAGGAGTGCCATGGGTGCAGGGAGCTGGGGCTTGGGGAGGGTGAGAGAAGGGACTTGTATTTTCAAAGGTCTTACTCTTGGGGCTCCGTGGAGGGCTCTCCCGGTTTCGTAGTTATAGGCTTAGGGGCATCTCATATCATATTTCTTTTTCTTTTTTTTAAAATATATTTTATTGATTTTCTTACAGAGAGGAAGGGAGAGAGATAGAGAGCCAGAAACATTGATGAGAGAGAAACATCGACCAGCTGCCTCTTGCACACCCCCTACCGGGGATGTGCCCGCAACCAATGTACATGCCCTTGGCCGGAATCGAACCTGGGACCTTTCAGTCCGCAGACTGACGCTCTACCGCTGAGCCAAACCGGCTTCGGCCGTATCATATTTCTTGCCTGTTTAAAACAACTGGTCCCAAATCTTGATTCCAAGTTCATTGCTTTTTTTAACGCACTGGATTATTACTGTGGATGTGATTTCGTGAGGGTTAGAGGAAATAGAGTAGAGAGACCTGAGGCAAATCTTGCCTTGAATGGGCTCTGCTTGCCCGTTTCAGTGGGTCTTTGTGACCATGCTTTTCCCTTTGCTTGTAGACATGCGTCGGGATGTCCAGGAAATTTTTCGCATGACCCCCCACGAGAAGCAGGTCATGATGTTCAGTGCCACCTTGAGCAAAGAGATCCGCCCTGTCTGCCGCAAGTTCATGCAAGACGTAAATACCTTCTCCCTTCTCTCCCTCCACTCCCGCCCACCGCCTCCTCCCCTGCGGGCCCGCTCCCTCCAGACTCCCTGTCCTTCAAGCACCAAGAAGGGCACGAGCCCGGCTGGGAGCGAAGACTCCCTGAAGAGACCGCAGAGGCAGGGACAGCTAGCGTCAGGGTCTGCGCGGGTGCCAGGGACATTCCGGAAGACTTGGTCGGGTTAACGTGAGAGCGGGTAGTGTTCGCCTTTTTTTTAATCACAGCATTTTTGAACCTCTTCTCCCTTTTTGGGGGAGGGCAGGGATTTCTGCCCTACCACCCACCCATCATCTCCTACACGTCCCCTACAGCCACGCACCCTCAAGGTGGCATCGAGCATACAGCTGGAGCCTTCTGCTCCCCAAAACTCGTAACCTCCCGGTGGCAGGAGAGCAAGAGAGGGACAGACAGATGGCAAGGCATGTGCAAACGAAGAGCAAACAGCACAAATGAATCCGCTCCCTCCCCACCTCCAGGGGTGGGGGCCTTTGGCACCTCAGTCCCCGATCCCCTACGCCTTCCCACCCGAACCTCCTCGCACCCACGTGGAACCTCGGTTGATGGGAGCCGCGCCGGCAGCGGAGAAGCACAGTGGCCAGCGGGGGAAGCGGACGGCACGGCGCGGATGGCGGCAGCGGAGGCCGCGGGAAACCTGACCAGGAAGCTGAGGACCCAGCCAGCCTCTTTTTCTGTTCCCGGTCTTTTCCTGAACAAGGCGTGCCGTGCTCCTTGTTTCCACCTTCCGTGTGGGGCGGGCGGAGTGGCTGGGCGGGTGGGAGAGGGCACGGAAAGGGCAGCGCTCCCTGGCTGGGACCAGCTGGGCTGGCGCTGGGCCAGGCGCCCCGTGTCCCTGGAGTGGCTTTGCCTCCTGCTCTGCTCTCCCACGGGGTGAGGCTCCTTGTCTGTAGCTGGACTTGGGCCGCCGTGAATTTCGGAGGCCACAGACCTTTTAGGGAAGCTGCCTCTGTGCCGGCTTCTGGCTGCCTCGCGTGACACGCAGCCTTTGCCCTGGGCCTTAACGTTCCTGTGCCCCACGGCGGCGAAGAGGCTAGGAAAGGTGGGCTCTGGAGTTGGGCTTGTCTCAATTTCTACCCTCAAAGTTTTTTTTCTTTTATTAAACGTAATTTGTCTTTTGATGCTACCTTCCTCCCCTTCAAGGGTAAAAACATAAGTGCGTATCTGCAGCTCTGAATTTCTTTTAGAGAATATCTTATGATTTCAGAGAGAAACATTAATGGTGAGAGAGAGTCATTGGTCAGCTGTCTGGGGATCGAGCCTGCAACTCCAGGCATGTGCCCTGACTGGGAGTCGAACCGAGACCTGTTTGTAGGTCGACATTCAGCCCCTGAGCCAGGCAGCTCTGATTTCTTAGCACCACTTCCGGATGCCTTCCATGTGGCGCTGCCGGTGGCTGAAGTCTTAGCTCAGAGACCAGTGTCATCTAGAGCGATGGCCTGGTGGCTGAATTGTTTCTGCTGCTCCTCATGGAGGGTCCCAGCCTCTTCACGAGGACGTGGCTCCCCGTGGAGGGCCTCTTCCTCCGGCTGACACTCGCTGGGTGGAGCTACCCTGCCGCCAAGCAGTGCTTCCCAGGCCTTCCCAGGTGTGGAATCCTGTTTCCCTTTGAGCATCTTGTACTGACCTTCTTTCCCCGCCTCCATTTGAGGTGATGGCATCTTGCCATGGGGTGGTCTCTGCTCCTTTTCCTCCCTGCAAGTTGCTTCCTCTGGCAGTTTTCAGTTGGGCATTCTTAGAACTCCATGGATAGGAAGGAAGGAAATGAGGTCAGAAGTGGAAGAGACCATGTGAAATGGGCATGCTTTTGGGAGTGGGGTGAAGTTTTCAGTCTTCTCTTCTCCCCATTCCCCCCATGGGGTGTATTGGAGATCAACTTCCTCCACCCCCCCAGGGTTAACCCCCCCTCTGCCCTCCTCCCGTTCCCACCCTCCCTCCCCCTCCCCTCAGCCAATGGAGATCTTCGTGGACGATGAGACGAAGCTGACGCTGCATGGTTTGCAGCAGTACTACGTGAAACTGAAGGACAACGAGAAGAACCGGAAGCTCTTTGACCTTTTGGATGTCCTTGAATTCAACCAGGTCAGTTGCAGTCCGGTGGGAGGATGAGCACATTCCCACTGGCAGCGAGCGCGTTCAGTGCCCTGTTGTAGAGGACGCCACGCCGGTGATGTGAGAGGATGGTGGCGACGTCTCTCAAGCGAAATCTTTTTCTTTAAATCTCCACCTACGGTGTTTTTGTTGACTCTAGAGAAAGACATCAGTTTGTTGCTTCGCTGTGTGCGCTGCAACCAGGGCTCAGACCTGTAACCTACCTATGTACTCTGGGAATCGAATCGCAACTTCTCTTTTGGTGTCCTGGACAGTGCTCCAACTGCCTGTGCTTCCAGGCCAGGGCTTAAGTGAAAAAACCTTTTTTAAATATATTTTTTATTGATTTCAGAGACAAAGGGAGAGAGAGACATCACTGATGAGAGAGAATCAGATGGGCTGTCTCCTGCACTCCCAACACTGAGGATGGAGCCCGCAACCTGGGCATGTGCCCTGACCGGAATCAAAGCATGACCTCCTGGTTCCTAGGTCGATTCTCAACCACTGAGCCATGCTGGCTGGGCATTTAAATTCTTTTAAAGAAGAACATACATGTCTTGGAGCTTAGCATGAGCAAGGTGGGAGCTGCTGTTCTGTTCCATTGCTGGCACAGACAGGTACTCAGTGAATAAAAGCAAACCTCAAAACCCTGAAAGGGTGTGGTTTTGTTTTGTGTTTTTTATTTTAAAAAATTACTTTTTTAAATATGTTTTATTGATTTTTTTACAGAGAGGAGAGAGGGATAGTGTCAGAAATTAGAGAGAATCATCCATCAGCTGCCTCCTGCGCACTACCCACTCTGGGGGTGTGCCGGCAACCAAGGCACATGTCCCTGACCAGAATTGAACCTGGGACCCTTCAGTCTGCAGGCTGACGCTCCATCCACTGAGCAAAACCGGTCTCGGCTAAAATTTATTTATTTATTTAAAAAATATATATCTTATTGATTTTTTTATAGAGAGGAGGAGAGAGGGATAGAGAGCTAGAAACGTCAATGAGAGAGAAACATCGATCAGCTGCCTCTTGCACACCCCCTACCAGGGATGTGCCCGCAACCAATGTACATGCCCTTGACCGGAATCGAACCTGGGACCTTTCAGTCCGCAGACTGACGCTCTACCACTGAGCCAAACCGGTTTCGGCTAAAATTTAGTTTTTAAAATAAAAATAAAAAAAAAAGACTCCTGAAAGGGTTTTAATAAGGTTGTAATGGTTCTGAAATATCTTGATCATCCGTTTAGGTTTTTAAATTTATTTTTCATGTACTATTTCCTGAGGAGATACGTTTCATCACTACCTGTTATGTAGGGTTTTTGTTTTATTTCGGAGAGGGGGAGAGAGAGAGAGAGAGAGAGAAATCAGTGATGAGACAGAGTCATTGATCGGCTGCCTCCTGTACGCCCCCCACAGCTAGGGCCATTACTGAGTTTGCAATAAATTATCTAGACTTGGGGTGAGGTTACATTCAGAGCAAAGGAGGAAACATGATAGGGACTGAGGAATTCCTTTGGACGAGTAATTACTGAAAACTCCTTTTTCACATAACCTCACACTTGCATGGACCCACGTCACGCGCGCGCAGGTGGTGATCTTTGTGAAGTCTGTGCAGCGCTGCATCGCCCTGGCCCAGCTCCTGGTGGAGCAGAACTTCCCAGCCATCGCCATCCACCGCGGGATGCCGCAGGAGGAGAGGCGAGTTGGAAATGGGGAGGATGCTTTGTGCTTGGGAGGAAGACACTTGAGAGAGGACTCATCATTTTCGAATTTCCTTTCTCATGAAGGCTTTCTCGGTATCAACAATTTAAAGATTTTCAACGACGAATTCTTGTGGCCACCAACCTGTTTGGCCGAGGCATGGACATCGAGAGGGTGAACATTGCCTTTAATTACGACATGCCTGAGGACTCGGACACCTACCTGCATCGGGTAAGCCCGCACCCCCGGCCATCCAGTGGCCTCGCCCGCCCCTTGCTTTCCCTGTCTTAGCATGCATCTTCCCTCCTGTCCTACCTTCTGTCTCCTTCCAGGTGGCCAGAGCAGGCCGGTTTGGTACCAAGGGTTTGGCCATCACGTTTGTGTCAGATGAGAATGATGCCAAGATCCTCAATGATGTGCAGGATCGCTTTGAGGTCAATATCAGTGAGCTGCCTGACGAGATAGACATCTCCTCCTACAGTGAGTATTGCTCACGTGCACTGCCCCGCCTCATGACATTCTCCTCTTCCTTCCTGTTTGCCTTAAACCCCATGGTGTGGGGGAAGCCCCTAGTACGGTGGTCCGCAACCTTTTCTAATGTCTCGATGGTCTCAGGCTCCACAGCTGCGCTTCTCAGCCGCTAGCAAGGTCGCCTGGGACCATCGGGAAACACATATTTACATCACGATTCATAACAGCAGCAAAATTACAGCTATGAACTGGCAACAAAATAATGTTACGGTTGGGGTCACCACAACGTGAGGAGCTGGATTGAAGGGCCGCAGCGTTAGGAAGGCGGAGAACCCTGCCCTGGGACAGAATGGCCCCTGACTAGCTCAGCCCTGAGGGGATGTAAGTTCACGGCCACTTGGGATCTCTTCGCTCCTCCCAGTCTGCTCTTTGGACCAGACCTACACAGACGTCTGCATGCACAGCATGTTTCTGCCAGCCTCGCTTTTCTCTGTCTTACTCTTTTTTTAAAGATATTCTGATTTTAGAAAGGGAGGGAGGGAGGGAGGGAAACATCAGTGATGAGAATCATTCATCGGCTGCCTCCTGCACCCCCCACACGGGATCGATCCCACAATCCCATTGCCCTGACTGGAAATCGAATCGTGACCTGCTGGTTCATGTCTATGCTCAACACTGAGCCACCCCAGCAGCGGGCTCTCGTGTCTTATTCTAACCGCCACGTCTCCTTTTCAGTTGAACAGACACGATAGAGGACGCCGCGCATGTTCTGGAATGTGACCGTTCGTCCCTCCTCAGGAGATGACACCAGGCGTGGGGGGAAGGAGACACTACTGCCCCAGCCCTGACAGCCCAGCCACCCGGCCTTCCCTCTTCGGCATTACCACTTGTAAACCCCCGCTTCCTTATTTGTGAGAACTTTTTTAACAAAACAAAAAACATGCGTCTATGGTGTCTAAGTGCTCCTTTTATTGGATTTGGGGTGAGGTGGTGCTGGTTCCTGATGTGGGGCCAAGGTTGTCAGCGGGAGGGGTCACAGTGGGCTCGTGGCTAAGGAGACTGCGCAGGCCATGGTTCCCGCTGCTTTCCAGGCTGGCCCTCTGGAGGGTCCTCTGTTGTTCTTAGTGGCCTGCGAGGCTGGTGGTCTCGGCAGGTGGCGTGCAGTGTTTCCTGTGTTGGGGGTGAAACCCTAGGTTCCTCCTCCCAGGCTCTCTCGGAGTCTCCTCATCTGCTCCTTCAGCTTCTGTGTCTTGAGCACCAGGGCCTGCGCCTCCCAGGCCCCCTCCTGCCCTTCCTGCAGGGCCTGGGCCAGCTCCAGCTGCTGCTCCAGCAGCTCCTCCGCCTGGGCCAGCTCAGCAGGGAGCCCGGGGCCCTGGGGGAGGGGTGTGAGGAGGGAGCGTCAGCCAGGCGGGGGGCTGAGGCAGTGGGGTGGGAAATTCTGCCTCGTGTTTGATACCATGCCTTTCAGGGTAGCTTCCTGGCTTAGGCATCGGCCTTTGGGAAGCACAGGCTCGGGGGCTGTAAGGACTCGGAGGAAGGACTGCCTGCCCCTTCCCCCATCCCCCAGAAATCATTAACTTAACGAGGGGAAATGTCTGCTCAAGGACAGTGAGTGGACTGCAAGCAGGGAGTAAGCCTTGAGGTCTGCGGGGGTGGGGGTGGGGAACACGCCGGGAGGCAGCACACTCCGGGGTCCGGTTGGTATCTGCTCTGGGCCTGTGGTACAGGATGAGATTGGGGATCCCTCCCCCCACACCACAATCTCCCCTCACACCTACCTACCCGCTCCTGGTGCCACTTACCGGGGCGGGGGGCCTTGTCTTCCCGCGGCCGCTGGAGCCGGCCTGCTCCTTTGTGCTGGTCCTGGGGCTCTGAGAGCAGCATCTCCGGGAGCCGCCAGGGGCCGGCGGCCTGGAAGGCAGGAGGAGGCGGCGACACCGCGAGAGCCAGGGCAGGAGGAGCACCATGGCGGCGAGGCAGGGAGCTGTCAGCTGCCCAGCTGCCACCAGGAACTGGCTTCTGCCGGGCCTTGGCCTTGGTCTTGCTTCAGTGCCTGGCCCTGCCCCTGCACTCCCCTCCCTCCCAACCTGGCCCCAGAGAGACTCCTGTTCCTGATGTGGAAGTACTGCCAGCTTAGCAGAGCTGGCTTTAGAGCCATGCCCAGCCCACCACACCTCGTGCCTGTTTCCTTAGCTCTGGCTTTTCTTGCTCCTCTCCATTCCCGAAGTAAGGACGTACAGTCTAGACCAGTTCCCAGAACAAGCTGTTTTCAACCTGACAACCCTTTTATACTGATACTCGAAGCCTGGTGCCTGGAATTTGTGCCAGGACTGCTGGCTCCTAATTGGCTCACCTGCCTGCTGCCTGATCACTCCCTAACGGCTTCACTGCCAGTCCAATTGACACCTAACTGCTCCCCTGCTGGCCTGACCGCCCCCTACTGGCCCAATTGTCCCCAACTGCTGTATTCTGCCAACCTGGTGGCTCCCAACTACCCTCCCTACTGGCCTGGTTCCCCCGCAACTGCCCTGCCCTCCTTTGTAGGCCTTCTTGCCCCCAACTGTCCTCCCCTGCTGACCATCTTGTGGCCATATTTGGATGACGTGTGAAAGTAGTGCGACACCACCTAGGCTTTATTCTATAGGATGTCAGCCTGACAAAAATCTCAGGCCACAAGAATACACCAGTGTGAGTCAGTTTACTGCGCTAACATCTCAGGAAATTGTGTTGTGAATTTTTTTTTTTTTTTTTTTTTTTTTGCGTTTATTGCTGGCAAAATGGATGATTAGCACAATTTTTAAACAAGGACACATCAAGAGTGCTCATGTTGCCGAAACCGGTTTGGCTCAGTGGATAGAGTGTCGGCCTGCAGACTGAAAGGTCCCAGGTTTGATTCCGGTCAAGGGCATATACCTTGGTTGCGGGCACATCCCCATTAGGTGGTGTGCAAGAGGCAGCTGATTGATGCTTCTTTCTCATTGATGTTTCTAACTCTATACCTCTCTCTTCCTCTATGTAAAAAATCAATAAAAATTATTTTTTTTTTTAAAAAAGAGTGCTCATGTCGCTAACGTGTGAAAGAAACTGGTCATAGGCTGTCTGGTTAGCCAGTGACAGCAAGTGAAGGTGCCCCACGCAGAGCGGAAAGACACCTGGACCAAGTGTGGAAGCGACTCAGGACTGGTAGGGGTGGGTCGAGTCGGTACGTTTCAGAGAAGTGTTTGTTCATAGTTAGAGCATATTTGGCATGCACTGTGTAAGAGATCGACGTGGAATCATTTGGGAGTCTGGAATGAATGCGTTTTACATTACTTCTAAAGGAAATGGCTTTCAAACAGATGGCTTCTTGAACAGCCTTCCGGAAGGAATCACGTTGGAGAACTGAGGTTCCACTGTGTCTGGTTTTGCGGAGGAGGAAGCTGGCGCGGACAGTTTGTGCTCCAGGCCCCTCAGTTGGAGGGTTCATACCCAGGTCTACTTGACTTGAAAACTACCCATTGGCCTGGCTCTAGTCTTAATTTCCCCTAATTTCCCTTTCCTCTTGCTGACCCAGCATGTCCTTTCCTGTCCCTGTTGCATATGATGTTGTGGGGGTTTGCTGTCGGTGGGTCTCGGCCCTGAGGTTACCACTTTAAAAATGTTTTTATTGATTTCAGTGGAGGAAGGCAGAAGGAGAGCTAGAAACATCAATGATGAGAATCATTGATTGGCTGCCTACTGCATGCCCCTACTGTGGACTGAGCCCACAACCCAGGCATGTGCCCTGATTGGGAATCAAACCATGACCTGGTTCATAGGTTGACACTCAAACCACTGAGCCACACCAGCTGGATTACTAACACATTTTTATTTTTTTATTTTTATTATTTATTTATTTATTTTAGTGCACGACTTTGAAAGATTGTAATATATTCTCTGGAAAACATTCAGCAGTATGAAAGCCCTCCCCGGGCCCTCCCTCCCTCTCATGGGTCCACAACTGGTGGAACGGTCCAGAAATCCTTGAGCTCTGGAAAGGTCCCTGGTCAGTCCTTGGGGAATACAGGTAGCTATTTTGGAAGAATCTGCTCAAGTACGGTTCTTGACGTCTGGGGAATCCTTTCGGGGAAGATCACTTCAAACTCGATAACGAGGTCCCCGCGTTTCTCGGGTGTTTGGGGGAGAGGGAGGCCTTCTCCGGGAACTTCCGCCGCATGCCAGGCCTGATGACGTCTTTGAACACGATGGGTATGGTCCTGCCGTCCAGAGTGGGGGCATTCACAGTGCAGCCACAGAGAGCCTCCTGAAGGGAGATCCTGGCTGGGTAGATGACATCAGAGCCATCTCTCTTAAAGATACTAACACATTTTTAATATATTCCTGCGTTTACTGTCGGTCCCTCCTTGAGATTATAAGCTTTGTGGCCAAGGACAGGGACTTGATTTTCACAGCTGCATTTCCATTGCCCCCAATTGTTGATTGTAAAGGATTTGTTAAGTGAATGAATGAGTGAAGGCATCCTCAGACTGCCCCACCAACACAGACACTGCACCCACAGGGACACATTCATGTACCCACACTGACATACTCACATTCTCACACATGCACTGCGACACACCAATACACAGATACCCATGGGGACACACACACACACACACTCAAACACACGTTCTCATACGCTCACACTAATACACATTCTGACATTGACACACTCAGATACACACACATGCATAATTAAAGCTTACTTTTCATTGGACATTATGTTGTGAATGTTTCCCATGTCATTATGCATTATTATGTTTTTTTTCTCCAAAATGTTGTGAAAAATTTCAAAGATACTTAAACTTTGAGTGAAGAACACAATGGTCACCCAGATTTAATAATTTTAATACTTTGCCATATTTTCTTTATGTAATTATTAGAGGCCCAGTGTATAGTGGAGTCCCTCAGTCTGGCCTGTGGGTTTGTGCTAAAACTGGCCCTCCAACATCTCCCGAGGGGTCCCGGATTGGGAGAGGGTGCAGGCCATGCTGAGGGAGCCCACCAGGGCATGATCGGGGCTGGGGAGATTGGCCAGCTGAGGAGGGACCACTGCGGGACAGCTGTAGGGTGTGTCCAGCCCGCCTCATTCAGTTGTGATAGGCTGGACCCCAGCAGCAAGCTAACCTACCAATTGGGGTGTCTGCCCCCTGGTGGTCAGTGCACATCATAGCTAATAGTTGAGCAGTCTTAGCATATCATTAGCATATTACCCTTTGGTTGAATGGGCAACCAGGCACTTAGCATATTAGTTTTTTATTATATAGGATTTCTATAATCTTGGCTAAAATATTTGAAAATCGGAGGATCCAAGATGGCTGCTCGGGTAGACATCTAGCCGCGGCAGCACACAACAATTTCAATGGAATACAACTAAAATGTAGAGTGGACATTGCCCAGAGCTACAGGTAGTCGACTGACTGAAATTTCTACAACAAGAAGGAAAGAGAAAACCAGAAAGAAAATCAGAGGAGCTGAAAAAAAGCCTAAGGTACGGAGGCATGCTGCTCGCGCCTGCCCGCCCGCACGCGCGCACGGAGAGGTCGTAGCCGGAGAGGAGGAGAGGGCGGGGAGCCGCCTTTCCTTCCCTAGCAGGAAGGAAATAAAACCCCCAGCCTGGGCTGAACCCCCGAACCGGCAGTGCTGAACCCCACCCGAACCCGGCAGCGCTGAGCCCCAGTTATGGGCCAGACCCTGGGGACCCAGGCTCCCGCGGGAGGAGACGGGGCCATGAGGCGAAAAGCAGGGCCCCGGGAGTCGCGCGCAATGCGCGCAGAGGACTGAATGTTGACTCTGAGGCTGGGTTGCCCTAGCCGGAAGAAACAAGGCCTCCGGCGGCGCTGAGCCTCAGTCCGGACTGCTCCGAACCCCAGTTCTGGGCCAATCCCTGGGGACCCAGGCTCAGGCAGAGGGAGACGGGGCTGTGAGGTGGAGTCCGGGGAGAGCGGCGAAAGGCCGGGCCCCCGGGACTCGCGCAAACTGCGCGCAGAGGACAGTCTGTGGGACTCGCGCAAACTGCGCGCAGAGGACAGTCTGTGGGACTCGCGCAAACTGCGCGCAGAGGACAGTCTGTTGACTCTGATGCTGGATTTCTCTAGCGGGAAGGAGAAAAAAAAAAAAAAAAAAGCTCTAGGCTGGGGGAACACGGAGGGGAGCGGAAGCCCCTGCCGGACTCCAGCCAACCGGGCACCAGCAAGGAGGCTGGCCACGGGGCCCCTGGGGGCGTGGGTGCCCCTGAGCCTTTGACCACTGAGCTCGGGCAATGGAGCCAAGGCCGGGGGCTGCTTCCTGGGCGGCGCCGTCCCTGGCAACAGGCTGAAGCAGCGCAGGAGCCCGCGGAGAACAAAGGGGTGCCACAGGCCAACCTGCTGAGCTCCCAGGACAAGGAGGAAGAAACCAAAGAAGTTCTCAATGTGAAGAAATCAAGTGAGAGCAAAAGATAGTAAAATTACTTAAGAAAGAATACAAAGAAGATCTTGAAAAATCAAAGACTAAGTCAGAACTCAACTCACCAGCCAACATTGCAACATAAATGCGTTTTAAAAAGAAAAAAGAAAAAAAAAAAGGACAGAATGTTGGAACAGCGGCGGCCAGGCCTAGAGTGGCCAGGCACAAGGCAGTGGCAGCCAGACCCAGAGCAGCAACGGCCAGGCCCCAGAGCAACAGCAGCCAGAACCAGAGCATCAACAGCCAGCACTGGAGCAGCCAGACCTGGGGCAGTGGCAGCCAGGCATGAGGCGGAGGCGGCCAAGCCCAGGGTGGCCAGTCCAGGAACACCCAGACCCGGAGTGGCCGGGCCCGGAGAAGCCGGGCCCAGAGCAGCCGGGGTGGGAGCAGCCAGACCCAGAACAGCAGTAGCCAAGCCCAGAGCATCCAGGTCGGGAGTGGCCAGGCTCGGAGCGGCCGGGCCCGGGGCAGCCGGGCCCAGAGCAGCCGGGTCAGGTGCGGC